TGGTGTAGGTCTGTGCCCGGGATCCAAACCTGTGAACCCCAGGCTGCCAAAGCAGAGCACACACACTTAACCACTACACCACCAGCCTGGCCCTGCATCTGGCTTTTTTTCATTTAAAAACATTTTTGAGGGGCTGGCCCTGTGGCCAAGTGGTTAAGTTCGCGTGCTTCGCTTCAGCAGCCCAGGGTTTTGCTGGTTTGGATCCTCGGCGCAGACATGGCACCGCTCATCAGGCCATGTTGAGGTGGCATCCCACATGCCACAACTAGAAGGACCCACAACTAAAATATACAACTATGTACTGGGGGGATTTGGGGAGAAAAAGCAATTTAAAAAAATTAAAAAAAAAAGATTTTAAAAACATTTTTGAGGGGCCAGCCCTGTGGCCGCATGGTTAAGTTCACATGCTCCACTTTGGCTGCCCAGGGTTTCACCAGTTCGAATCCCATGGACGTGGCACCACTTATCAGGCCATGATGAGGCAGTGTCCCACAAGCCACAACTAGAAGGACCCACAACTAAAAATATACAACTATGTACCAGGGGGCTTTGTGGAGAAAAAAGGCAAAATAAAATCTTTAAAAAAAAAAAATTTTTTGAGATGCATGTGAGTATACAGTGTCATCATTCTTTTTGTATAGCTGTATAGTATTCCATGGCGTGGATATACTATAATATTTTTTACCAATCCCCTATTGATGGATATTTGGGATCTTTCTAGTCTTTTGCCTATTATGAACAATGCTGTATTGAAAGAAATAATTGTTTTGTAGTTGTGCAAATTTATGATGGTAGAAATTCCTAGAAAGCAGTTTCTGTATCAAAAGTTATGTGCATTTGAACTTTTGGTAGATAACTGCCAAACTGCTTTCTATAAGGGTTGTACTAATTTAACTTCCACCAGCAATGTATATATATCTAGCCATAGCCCCTTCAATAAAATATTAGCGTGCTCTTTTTGACGATTTTATAAGTTTGTCATTATATCACATAATAGCTTTAATTTTCATTTCTCTTGGAAGATGAACATCTTATTTTTAAAAGCTGCTTATATTTTCTGGGAACTCAATGCAAATCCTTGCCTGTTTTTCTGTTGATTTGTTCTATTCATTAGTTGTTAATATACATTCTGCCTCTTATTAAAAGGACTTGCAGCAGGGACAACATATTCAATGTGGTCGGGAAAATTGAAAGAAAATTTTTCTGCCAAGGTTAATTCACTTGCTGTGATGGAGCATATTTCACTCTGAGCTTCAGTCAGCCATGGGGAAATAAGGAGGGGAAACACTTAACAAAAGGAAGCACACAAATGAAAGAGAGAACAAACCTTGGTGGGTTTTAGAAATTCTGAAAGAACTGTGTCAATGCAAATAATCAGTAACCAATCAATAGATAAGAGAGATATTTAATGAGCTAATGTCGAGGACTGGCCTGGAAGTATTTGCTTCCCCAGGGAAGAAAACACTGGGTAAGTGTGGTTTACAGCATGGTTATATACCATTTCAGAACAAAGAACATACATCAAGCATGACAGGAATACGATTTTTTTTCCCCCAAAGTCACAAGATGTTTTGCCACAGTTTAGCACATACACAACAGGTCAACTTTGATGCGGGGTCGGTGAGCCGAGTCGTCGAAAGAAAGATTTCTTAGACTCTTAAGATCTGGCAGTAGTGCTCTTTTATTTAGAGAATAGAATAGCATGGGGACAGGACCCATGGGCAGTCAGCTGCTGCATGGGGACAGGGCCCACGGGCAGTCAGAGATGCTGCTGGCATGGGGAGCTGCCGCTGCCACGGCTGGCATGGGGACAGGACCTATGAGCAGGCAGAGCTGCTGCCGGCATGTTGCTGCTGCCACTTCTGCTGCAAACGTGGGTGGAGAGTAAGGCTAAATTTAAGGCATATGTACGTGAGTTATCTCTTTACAAGACAAAAAAAAAGTTAAAATGGTACCAGTGCCGGTAGGGTCCGGCCATTGGGCGGTCCCACAACTTTTAGATAAGAATCAAACCGGATTGAGTAAATGGCAGAAGTCACTGCTTAAATATTATCTTCAGCTAAAGACAAAGGAGGATTTGGGGGGGGGGGGGGTCAGTTACATGAGGTATGAGGTTGCCAGATAGTAAACAACTTAAGTTCTTGCCTTCCGCATTAAGAGTTTTCATAGATAAGGCCCTCCCCCCTTCCTCCTGGCGCAGAGAGGGAGGCATGGAGATTTCCTTCACAAATGCAACTGTGTCTCATCAAAGGGTGAGCAAATTCCACTCCTCGGAGCCTGCTTCTCATCTGCAGTTTTAAAATTAACCAGCCTAAAATCCTCATCAAACTTGACCTTGGTTCTCTGGGAGGAAAAGCTCATCTTCAAAGAAGTACTGGTATTGACGTTAGAGAAATTGATGCCTTTAAAGAGTGCATTCTTTGCTTTGGGAAAATGTTTGAAGCAGATGTACAGTACATGTTCGGTGGGCCATAAGTCAGGCTACTCGGGGAAAAACAAGTTTTAGGCCAAATTAGATTTAAACCAGAAGGGCTTCCCCATATACCTTAATATGTGAGAACATTATTCTTATTATTTTCATCAACTGTAAAACTATGAGGGGAGAAAAAGGAATCCATTACCCTGACTTTGTTTCATTTTGTCTTAGAACAAGAACAATTCTGTAGGGAAATGGAAAGGCAAAAGTTCTGATGTTTTGCCCTTGATTTCACCAAGTTATTCCAACTCCAAGAGTCCTCTTGTCAGAAAGATAAAAAATTTATCTCAAAACAAACAGAACATACTTAAAAGAGTCATTCTCCCTTAGACTGCTGAAAAGCATCTCTAACAAGTCAGCTAAACTAAGAATGCTTTCCTATCTAGTATTTAATTCTATCGAAATGGACACCAAAAAGGCTCTTTCTTTTTAATAAATTAAATAAATAAAGATAAATAAAATAAAAATTGAGTACCTTCGAAAGCATTATTATTATAAAAGGTCCAAAAATAAAGCTAAATTCCTCCAATAACAAGCAGATGGTTAACTTAATTACATAGCTTAATACTTCATCAGTTAGAAACCTCAAGAAGAAAAAATACCTGGAAATTTACATGATGGTGTAGGGACCCATTTGGAACCCCAGAGTTGGTCTGAGGATTATTTTAAGCTGAAGACATTTGAGAATCAACAGGTGCAGAAAGAAGCCTTCTCCGGGCTCCCCTTATCCGACTAAAAGCAGAAACTTCTGAAAAATGAAGCTGCCAAAAATTCCCTCTTCCGGGCGGGTCTACTCCCAGGAGAGAGACCAACAGTAAACCTGCCATAAATCTCCCTGCCGGGGGAGATTCATGGCCATGAAGAACGAAAGACCACTTGCATCAGCATAAACAAACATCACAAACTGTCTTCTTGGTTTGTTCTTCTGAAAACCCCTTTGCCTTTCCTAAAGAAACCTATTTGTTCTTCCCATAGAAGCTGTTTCTCCCCACTTCCGTTTGCCTACTAAGTTAAGTATATGTCACTAACTTTAACTGGTCGGTCAGCTAACTACTTCCTTTGTTAGCTCTATATGCATATGAATAAGTCTTTTTTCTCCTGTTAACGGTCTTTTGTCAGTTCAATTCTCAGGCCCCCAAGTCCTGAACTTAAGAGGGCAGAGGAGTTTTCCATCCCAACAGTGGTCAAAGGGACAGCAGTTTTTTCAATGAGAAAAACACAAAATGGGTGGCGGGGAGAACCTCAAACATTTTCCAAAAACAGGAAATCCAAATGTATAATAAACGTATAAAAAGCCTTTCAGGGGCTGGCCCCGTGGCCAAGTGGTTAAGTTCACGTGCTCCGCTGCAGGCAGCCCAGTGTTTCATTGGTTCAAATCCTGGGCGCAGACATGGCACTGCTCATCAAACCATGCTGAGGCCGCGTCCCACATGCCACAACTAGAAGGACTCACAACAAAGAATATACAACTATGTACCGGGGGTCTTTGGAGAGAAAAAGGAAAAAAATAAAATCTTTAAAAAAAGAAAGCCTTTCAGTCTCAGAAATATCCAGAAAAATGCAAATTTAAATCACTCTTCTGATTGACAAATGTAAGAATCTGACAATAAGCAGTGTTGGCAGCAGTGATGAGCAACAGGAACACTCAAACACTGCTGGGGAGAGTGCAGATAGATGCAACAACTTTCCAACCAGTTAGACATTGTCTAGAAAAGTGAAGATCCAGATACCCTATGACCCAGCCCTGAGCCTTGCTCCTCAACTGTGGACTACAGACCAGAAACATCAGTGTCTCCCAGCAATTTGTTAGAAGTGTAAATTTATGGGCCCCACTGCAGACCACATGAATCAGATTCTGCATCTTACCAAGATTCATAAGTGATACATAAGCCCTGTGCCCCAGGATACATGGACAGGAATGGTCCTGATAGTCCCAAACAGAAACAGTCCCATTATCTGTGAATATGAGAAGAGAAAGCAAGCTCTATTCATACAATAGAAAACTCTATGTCAATGAAAAGGAACAAATTACAGTTGAATGCAACATAGATAAATATCACAATGTTGAGGGAAAGAAGCAAAACACAAAGAAAATATGTAGAGTATGGCTCTACAGACATAATCTTCATCAACTGTCAACCAAACTGCACTGTTTAGGCATGCGTATTAAGGTAATGATTCTGAAAAAAAGAGGAAAGGAAAGCAAGAAAGTGATTCCTAAGAAAATCAGGGTGGACTTTCTCTCCAGAGGGGAGAGACAGGGTTGTGATCCTGGAGCGAGGGGGGCCATTGTGGGGTGCTTACAAAACTGGTATATGTACAGATAGTGTTTAAAGGATTTCTGTTTTATAATTATTTAAATAGTATTTTCTAATCTTCCACCCTCAGCGACAGACTGATGCATGCATCAAGTTGTACACTGTAAATACTTGATAAATACTCCTTGAAGGCATGAATGGGAGAAAAATAGGCAGAGAATAGATTTTTAAAAAGAAGAAAAAGAAAACAAGCTGAAAAAACTTACCGTTAAGATGAACAACATAGTAAGGTCTTTAGAATTGATTCAGGAAGATTCCCTTCTCCCCCTGCTCTGCCCTCTCCATCACCGCAAAGATGAAATCACTTTTAAAAGGAAAGTACAATATAATAAGGGGAGAGGCTTACAGCTTAGTTTTTCGTTGTTGTTTCTCTGCTTTTTATTCAATCTTCTCTCCTCAGAAGCTGCTACAATGCTTCAGTTTCTTGGTTAGTAACTGCTGTCCTGATGGAGGCAAGTGGGAGGGTCCCTGGGGAAGTGGGAACCCTTGGGTAAGAAAGATTCTTGTCAGTGACCCAGACAATCGTGTCTAAAGGCTGCCATCTAGTGTTCATTCCTCAGAACACGTCCTGACATACTAATCCTGTGGTTCTCTAGCCAAAGGAACCTTTTTATTGATGTTTTATTGTTCTGCACCAGATTTTAAGACAATTTGGTTACCAAAAGAAATACAGTTTTAGAAAAGAACTATGTTTTTCATTTGTTTTAATTACAGACATATACTGTCAAAACAGGACTGTGGATCAGCAGGCTAATATTTCTGAAAGAAATGATCTCTCAGTGAACTGATGTAATGGCAATTAAAAATAAATTATAATACTCAAGTTATCCTGGCCATCTGTATTATGAGTAAATGTTACCTGTAACTTTTGCTGGACAGGGCAAGGTGAGAAGAATCATTTATTATGTGTCATCAATGTGCTGACTTTACCAACATTATGTCATTTAAGCCTTACTTTTAAACAATCCTTTGAGTTAATTTTCTTTTTACTCAGCTTTATTGAGGTATAACTGACAAGTGAAATTTGAGTTAAGTATTCCTAACACCATTTCAAAGATGAGAACTTGAGGTGAAGTAACTGGCCTTTATTTTTATTTTATTTTTTTATTGCAGTAACATTGGTTTATAATATTATATAACTTTCAGGGGTGCATCATAATATATTTCAAATTCTGTGTAGATTTCATCATGTTCACCACCCAAAAACTAATTACAATCCAGTAACTGGCCTTTATATCAAAGAGCAAGTTGGCTAAAGAACCCACGTCTGTCACACTCACAGTCCATGCATGTTCATCTGTAGCATAAGGCCGAGTAAGCTTTTTGAAATTCAGGGGGAAACTTGCAAACCACTGCATTAAAACGAACTTCCAGGGGCGGGTCTGGTGGCACAGCGGTTAAGTTTGCACGTCTGCTTCTCGGCGGCCTGGGGTTCGCTGGTTTGAATCCTGGGTGCAGACATGGCCCGGCTTGGCAAAAACCATGCTGTGGTAGGTGTCCCACGTATAAAATAGAGGAAGATGGGCACGGATGTTAGCTCAGGGCCAGTCTTCCTCAGCAAAAAGAGGAGGATTGGCAGCAGATGTCAGTTCAGGGCTAATCTTCCTCAAAAAAAAAGGATCTTCCAGAGCACCACACTGATCTGTAGGTCCGTTTCCTTAAAACAAATTGTACTCTTGAGACCTGAACCAGAATATTCAAAATTCTAAGTTAAAAACAATAGAGTGGTTTTATTCTTGAGTTTTACTAGGACAAATTCATAAAATGTGAGATTTTTTAGTTATAAATACTTCAATTGTAATACATTTCAACTGAAACTTCATGTTTTACATTACATTTACTTAAACCTTTAGCTAATCCATATTACTTCAAAAATCCAAACTCTTGCATGGAATTGATCCAAAATGCTATGCCTGCAAATCCCAATTTTGCCTTTTGTACCAACTGTATTCATTATAATAGAGAAAAAACACAATTAGGGTTTTTTTCTTTTTCTTTTTGCTAAAGAAGATTCACCCTGAGCTAACATCTGCTACCAACCTTCCTCTTTTTGTATGTGAGCCACTGCCACAGCATGTCCACTGACAGACAAGTGGTGTAGGTCTGGGCCTGGGAACCGAACCTGGGCTGCCAAAGCAGAGCATGCTGAACTTAACCACTACGCCACCAGGGCTGGCCCAGTTTTGTTTTTTTTAAATTAAAGCACAATATTAGATTTCCTAGGTTCTTTATATAATGTGTTAAATCACCTTTTGAAATTTGACAAGTATTTAACGCAAAAGTCCCTAGTTTGGAATTAGTATTTTAAAGAACCAACAGGATTCATTAATGAATCATTTATCAAAGGAAAAGAGGAAACATTGGTTTGACACCCATCTTTCTAGAACCTGATCTGCTGATCTTAGGCAAGATTCTTCTCTAATCCTGCTAATTCTGTAAGGTTTGTAATAATTGAGTGATGTTCAGGCAAACTACTGTTGCAAATAACACCAAATTTTAGGGGACTCAACACAATAAAGGTTTGTTTATTGTTCACGTCACAGTTTAACATGGATTGGTGGAGGCTTTGCTCCATGCATTCATTCAAGGAACCAGGCTCCTTCAGCATTGTGGCTCTACCACCTTCAAGGCAGACTCTTTCAATCCCAATTTCCCCTCCTTTGGGAGCCTGACTTTAGAGCCAAGCTTCTTACCCATTTCTTGCCTGTCACTTGTTCTTATAAACCCAGAGTTAGATTTCTCTTTTTGATCTGAAGATGTGCTTTTATAAAGTTGATTTTAAAATAATTTAATTCATAGAATATTCAGCATCAGACACAGCCATTCACACTCAAGTTATCTTTCTGACTAATACTCCACAAACACTACATTCAGGCAAAACATTCAGGAACAGATTTTTCATACTTCATGTATTTTTATAAATTGAAGTTTCATGAGGTCACTTTTGAAAATGTATATGTATTTGTATATGTATTTCTGTTATTGCATTCCAAGCTCTTTTTAGAGGGGAAAATTATGTGTAAAACAGACTATATGTTAAAATAGAGCTACTGCAGTTAGACATATTTAACTCCTAGGATTTACCAACACCTCCTGCTTGACTAAGATTCTTTCAAATGCAAACAAATTATATACACCTTGGCTTTTGACTTCGGCTTCCTTTGAATAGAGTGAAGTTGCCTATTTTCATATGTTTCCAGTTACTAAAAAGTTAGATTTAGGGCAGTAAGGAGTTAAATTCATTAAAACAGACATCTGAGCAGTCTTAGATCCACTTAACATGAGGAGCCAGCTTCCACTGGAGCCCAGGTCTTCTTTGGGTAAGTAGCTGGGTGTTTGAAATGCATCGTTTCTGATGTGCCCTCCAAAAAGCAAGAGGATTTTAGTGATAATGAATCAAGCAATTAGTCATATATGGAGGCAATTCAGTAGAAGATTCCTGCCATCAAATAGTTCCTGTCGTCCCACGAAGAAGGAAGTCTGGAGGCTTGTGAGTCAGCACAGGGTGGTTTTAAATTAACAGCAACATAAGGGAGTTACTGAGGTTTATTTGAGCCTTTATTTTTCCAATGGCCATGTTTTTACCACAGTTACCTTTGTCCTACATGGTCCATTGGAAAGATGTGGCCTGTACCTGGGGCTTATCACAGGTACCCAGCAAGGCAGTGTTTACTCTCAGACCTGGGCAAGCAGGCCCTGCACTTTAGTGGCCCTCACAGTTCACAAACATACTGAACTGCTAAGGCCTATAGAGGAGGGAAGAGATTCTTTTCCTTCTATCTATCTTGGGTTCTCTAGCTGGGGCTCTGTAAATTAGACTGAAAAAAGACTAAAAAGAGAAAAACAAGTTTATTCACATGTGCATCATGCACACATGGGAGCACTCAGAGATGAGTAACTCAAAGGGATGGTTAGAACTTGGGTTTATATAGCATCTTAACAAATGAACAATAAATTTTTAGAGAAGTGACAAGACAAAGGACTTTGAATTCTAGGGCAGCAAATTGTGGGATGGCAAATATATAGGAGAACTAGTGGTAGATAAGGGCTAGTTAGTAAAATTTGTCGGGAAGATTCCTGTGGTGCCGTCTCTGGGCCATAAGGATCTGGAGTTGTCCCTGGTAATTAACTGTGTCGTTCCTGGTAGAGAGAAGAAGGGCAACACTTTTACAAATTTATGCCCTGCTTTTAGGCAGATAGGAGGGCAGGACGCTTTTCTCATATCGGCTTCCTCTCAATTGCCTTCAGCTCAAAATAATCCTGATGCCAAAGTGGCATATTTTGGGGTGGTATATTCTGCTGTCCTTCAGGCCTCAGGGAGACAAGCACTGCAGCACATCTCTTGCTTCGTGTCCTCAAAAGAAAATGTGACTGTGTCTAAATGCTGTGAAGGCTCCTCAGTTGTGCGGGGCCAATGGCAGAAATGGACACTCCTTCCGAGAGTGGAGAGGTTTTGAGAAGTGGAAGCACTTAAGTAGGACGACGTAACAAATTACTTTGTCAGATCCTTTCAGATGGCATGAATGCAAGAGATTCCCGCATAACAATTATTTCCTAGTAGTGTGGAGCATCCGTTTCTTGCTTCTCTCCATATTTCAGTGAGTGGTTACAGGATTACTCATGAATTAGCTTAGCACGGTATTTGCAACAGCTGTGGCCAAGAAACATTTAGGAATATTAAACAATCCATATTATCTTTAAAGTCCTATATATATATGTCAAGACCTAATATACATGAAATACGATGCTGCTAACATTGGTAACCAGATGGACATTGAGCACTAAACTCATGTTTTATTTTTATAGCAATATTAGTAAGATTTAATTACATTTTCCAAAAATTAGGATTGTTCAACTTTAAATAAGTTGACTGAAAATCTTCATATTTTTTAATTATAACATATTTTACCTTTTGATTTTGGAAGATATTTCTGAAAACTTTAGAAAAATAACTTCAAAAATGTGTGAAAATAATTTTAATTTTTAAATTTTATATAGTAATTTAATTTACCTTTCTTGAGAAAATATATTAAAATTTATACACTTGGAATACAATTACATCTTATATTTTTAGTCGTGTAGGTCAGAGTTGGCAAGCTTTTTCTGTCAAGGGCTAGACAGTAAATATTTTAAACTTTGTGGGCCAATCTCTAGCACAGTTGCTTAAGTTTGCTGTTGTAGCTTAAAAACAGTCACAAGCTATACATAAATGGGTGGGCATGGCAGTGTTCCAGTGAAACTTTATTTACAAAAACAGTTGGCAGACCAGATTTGGCCCATGGCTGTAGTTTGCTGACCCCTGATTTAGGTTATTACTGTCAATAGAACCTAAATAATATTAAAATCTTAATTATAACAACATAATTAGTAATTTTGCTTAAATGAGGGCAAGAAAAATTAATATTATGAAATAAAAAATAGTTTATGAATTATGTGTCTTCCATCAACAGACCACCTGAACAGATGCAATTTTAATTAGAATCAGCAAAAAAAAAAAAAAAAAAGACAGGAGGAGCAGCAAGTGAAGTGAAAGAGAAAACCAAGAGAATGGGTGTCTTGTAAGTCAGGTAAAGAAAGCATGTCAGGGAGAAGAAAGTGATCTTATGGACTGATGGAGGGAAAAATCTGGTGAATTGGCTTTGAAGGAGAATGGGAGATGAGTCAAGACAGTACTTACAGGCAATTTATGCATGCCAACATCATTATATTTATTTCTCATTGCTCTTACTATAATCACTCACATCACCTTGCCTCCTAAGTAGAGTTGGGAGCCTGTTATTGTATACCTTATTAGGAATATACCCAATTGGACGCTAGTGTAGGGCAAATTCAAAAGTTTTGTGATTGTGTAAACATTTTTGCCTTACAACCGTAAATATCACGTTCCGTTTATCCTCACTGTGCCCTCAAAACCATGAAAAGATCTGGGCCTACAGACCACAGGGGTTTTCAAATAAGCTGATAGGTAGGAGAGTTTTGAAGCACTGAAATGGAGTCTTTTTAACCAATCGACGTATGATATAACTTGAAATCGGAAACAGCAATAGACTTCTGCCTAAATCCATTCACTAATCCATTGGGCTATTCTTTCTTAGTTGGGAACACTATAAAAGAAAGTCCCATGGGACCTGACAGTTGAGACCCTTTCAGGCAGTTAAAAAAAATTCATTTTACCTCTGCTGACGGTTGAACATTGTGCCACCTGCCTCTGGCAACACAAAAGACCTAAATTTGACACCTTGAGGGCTGCCAACAACCTGACTTTGATACAGTGAATGGAACCAGAACCAGGGTGCACGTGCACTTCCAATTGTCTCCATTTCAGCCCCAAATGGGCTCCAAGCGTCCCTGACAAAGTTCCTGTTGAGGTTCCCCATCTAAAGGCTCACACGTGCGGGGACAGAACATGCTCCACACAAGTGCCTCCAACACAGGCACTTGCGCTCCCTGAAGCT